GCAGACCAACGGAAATATTTTGTGATAACGGAACTAACTTCGTAGCAGCCGCAAGGGAGTTAGTATCATTTATCAAGCAAAATCAAAACCCTCTATTTGATTTTGCAAGTCAAAATTCTATCCAGTTTAAGGTTATTCCGGTTTACTCTCCTTATTTTGGTGGTATATGGGAAGCCGGCGTTAAATCGGCATAATTCCACTTAAAACGCGTCGTTGGCAATAGCAATACTTTTGAGGAACTTAATACTTTGCTATCGTGCTATCGGGCGATCAGCTTGACCAGTTTAGCAAGTAAAGTTTACTCGAAGGTTTTGACACGTAGGATGCAAGAGAAATCGGAAAGATTTCTATGGGAGGCACAATGCGGATTTAGACCTGGAAGAGGATGCACGGATCAAATGTTTTCTCTCCGTATGATCACGGAAAAGCTTCTGGCTGCTAACCAGAAGATTTTCTGTGCTTTTGTGGATCTTGAGAAAGCATTTGATAAGGTTGTAAGGAAAAAAATGTGGGAACTGTTGCCGGGGTATGGTGTGGATGGCTGATTGCTAAGGGCTGTGCAGTCTCTTTACTGTGACTGTAAAGCCTGTGTGCAGGTAGGGCATGACCTGTCACCCATGTTTAGCGTCCAAACGGGCGTAAAACAGGGTTGTGTCATGTCTTCCTGGCTGTTCACACTGTATCTCGACGGCTGTTTACAAAAGCTGAAAGATAGCTGTTTGGGTGTGAAATTGGGTGACATAAAATTAAATTGTCTGCTGTATGCTGATGATGCAGTGCTTATTGCACCATCAGAGGCAGAACTGCAGGCATTAGTCACGTGTATGAAAGAGGAATGTGAAATTAAAGGTCTCCGTTTGAACGCTAATAAAACTAAGGTTCTGGTATTTGAAAGGGACGAAGGGAGAACGAAGTGTGAAATATGGGTAAATCAGGAATGTCTAGAACAAGTAAATGAAATTGTATACTTGGGGAGTGCTTTTAGCCGGGATGGAAGATGTGATTTAGATGTGGACAGGCGTGTCGCTGCCGGGAACAAAGTCAATGGTGCCCTGACTGCGTTAGTTAAAAGGCAAGGCGTAGCGAAGAGTGCACGCCTTGCAATACATAACGCAGTGTTGGTACCGACTTTGTTATATGGCAGCGAAACCTGGGTATGCCAGAAGAAGCATAAAAGCAAGTTGAATGCAGTGGAGATGCGATCTCTTCGTAAAATGTGCGGCGTTACCATGGCCGACCGAAAGCGAAACGAAGAGATTCGCAATATGGCAGGTTTGAAAGATGACCTTATCACAAAAATTGATAAGGGCGTGCTTCGGTGGTTTGGGCACGTTGAGCGAATGAGTGAAGACCAAATGGTGAAGAAAATATATAGCGCGAAAGTTAATATCAAAAGGTGTCGAGGTAGACCGAGACTAACTTTCGAAGACCATGTGAGCAAATTGCTCGAAGAGGGTAGGGTCAAGAGTACTCGGATACCTAGATGTGCATGTATGAAGAAGATAATGAATCTGAAAGAAGCGAAAGAGGTATGTAAGGATCGTGACACTTGGCGATCTGTTCTCTCTGGCTACCCCGTCAGGGATTGTGCGTGAAGATAAGTAAGTAAGTTAATACTTTGTATACACAAGTGGAGGCGATTTTGAACAGCCGTCCCTTGTGCCCCTATCATCCTCTCCTAATGACCTCCTTTCCCTTTCCCCAGGATACTTCCTGATCGGGAGAGCGATAACTGCTCCACCGTCGCAACATCTGGGTGACTCTAAGGAAAGTAAACTTCAACGCTATGAACGCTTAGAAAAAATGCAGCAACACTGCTGGCAAAGATGGCAGCGTGAATATCTGTCTGAGATGTAGCAGAGAACAAAATGGAAAGTACATCAAAGCTGGACATAGGAGATATGGTACTCTTGGCAGATGACAATGCTTCTCCACTCTCTTGGAAGCTCGGGAGAGTACTACGCCTCATCACGGGATCCGATGGAACAGCGAGAGTGGCAGACATCACCACTAATAAAGGTTGTGTGCGCCGATCTCTAGTAAGGCTGTGCAAGCTGCCGAAAGCCGAGGAACTTCAAGGTAGAAAGTGATCTTTCAACGGCCGGGAGGATGTTCAGACTTAACGCCTGCGCAAATATTACGCCAAAACACCATCGCGGGAACATTGCCGTCACCCGCATCAGGCGCTTGAAGATTCTTCATACAAATCTGTCTACTCATGTCACTTGACCTACGATCATTGTGCAATTTACATCATTTTTTGAATTATATTAATTTATTAAGTATTTGGGCATTAAATTTATACCATCTGTCCGCTTATGATAGAACAATATTGGTAGATTATATAATATTTTTTCAACGTGGTAGAGCCATGCTGCAGCTATATTAGTAGTATAGTTGTAGCACGAATGGGTTGGCTCGCCCGGTGACGGACCACGCTCTCACAGAATACCAGCGTCAAATAGCATCTTAACACTGCTGTGTTTCGTATGGTGAGTGTAGAGTACCGGAGACCCTTTGTTCGCGCCAAATACTGGTTGTCGGTATTGACGTCTAGGGGGCGCGCGGCTCTGGGCGATACCGGTTTGAAGTTCGACCGAGCGTGGCAAGTGGTGCGCGGGTCGCGAGCATAAAGGCGAAAGGAGTCGCCTGTCAGCTGTGCTTGGAACGGCACGCTGTCATTTTTGTTGGGAACTCGGAATAATTCGGCGCGGCCAGTAAATATACGGTCTACCATTGTGACGCGCATTCCTGCTGGAGAGCTTCCCAGGGACTCATTGTGTCTGACTCAGAATCTGCATAAGTGCATTCGGCAATATTAGCTAGTGCGGCCTCTGATATTCTAGAACTAACTGTTGCTACGCGAAACGGTCGTGACCTTTGATCCAGAAACTCCGTGTGCGTTTTGTGCGTTAACCTTTTACCCAGCGTTAGTTAGTGGCTTCTGTAATTTAGTTTATCGTACGATAGAGTTAATTGACTGTCATCGTGACGAAAGAGGAAAGTGACTGTGGACAACCTCGGAAGGCCCCCTCAAGTTGGAGCGGTGTCGACACTCGGGCTGCTGCCGACGACCAAGGTCTAGGTTCAATCACCATCAGTCATACCCAGATACACATCACATCACTTATTTCCCTTTCACTACACAATAACATGTGACCTGACCGACTCCGGAGGGACCAGTCGCCTTGGATATAGGTAAGTAAGCTCCGCCTAATTCCTCTGCCAGTCGACTGGCCGTAGTATAGAACGCTCCCCCATATATTTTAGTGTAATTAGAGAGATTCCACGTGGCCATATTCTGGCCCAGTCCCTCTGCTGCTCGTCGGTGGGATTACTCATGGGCCCTAATCCCGTCACTCTTTGGTTGGGGCAGCTAGGGGCGTGTACACCCTTTTTACTGGAAAAGAGGCATTCCATCTTAGTCCTCACGGGTGACAACGCATCTGCATTTTGATTCGCAAACGAGGATAAATGTAGATGTCTATGGGTCACAGCAGCCACTTACCATCAGGTGGACTGTGTGCTCGTTTGTCACCCTATCCTATAAAAAAAAACTAATCAGCTAATCACTAAGTATATTAATAAATATGTAAATTTGAGATAAATCAGATATAAACACATAAGATCAGGCAATTTACAGTATCTATGTTATCACCAAAGATACCATTAATATATTATATTAACTTATAATAATACAACATACACATAACATACCATACCGACCATCTAGTTATTTAATTAGAAACTCTTTTAGTGTACTTTTAGCTATTTATACTTTATAATATTTTACTTTATTTAAGATAGTGAGAGGAAGTATACATAGGATAAAGTAATGACCTGATAAGACATGCAGGTCTTTGATGGATAAAGGTTGCTGCAGATCTTAATTTATAGCATTCCTTGGGGAAGGCTTAAGATCAGTAGGCTTGTGAAAGGCTTTTTTGTTGGAAAATGTAATCTCCACACTAGGATTTTCTTCTGTATCATGAGAACAGTTTACAAACATAAATTGCACAAAGACAAACATCCATACCCAGAAAAATTATTTGTAGGCTAAATAAATACTTTTTTCTTGCGGGATTCGAACCCGCGGCCCTTAAGCGCTGCAACTCAATTGCTAAGCCACTGCGCCACGGAACCTGTGATGTTGCTGTAAAATTGGTGATGACTAGCTAATTTCACAAGATATTTATAATTTATTTATAGGTAAATAAACCTCTCTCGTGAATCAGTCTCTCTACTAATCAAAACCGTATAAAAATCACCACAGTACAATTTCTGAGATTATCGCAAACGTATGTTTATCTAGACAGACGAGGCGGCACATTTTAATGTACATGTAGAAGGTTATACTACATTCTATCAGATGTCTCTACACCTAATATATATACAATAATATATGCTCTACACACAATACAGAATAAAATATCTTTAATTCAGGCACCAGGACTAAAAAATTAAAATTATTAGCCCATACCAATATATACCTTAGCCTAAAAATATATATATAAAACATAAACATAACACTATTTAGGGAACTTTCTTCTTTGACGCATCCTGTATTGGTGATGCACTGTCCTAGTGCGCTAGGAATCGTTAGCGAGTAATGTCTCTTTGTATTTTTAAGAACCTGATGTATATAAAAATAAGAATAAAAAATATTTATTCAGTTCAAAAACTATGTTTTGATAATAGTCATACCATTGTCCAATTCTTACGGAATAATATATTAAATGCCTATGACATGTCTGTTTAAATCACTTTTATATCTATTATTGTTAAATTGAAGGCATTTCACGTGTTGATTTTGTAAAGATTGTTCAGGAAAATAATCCGCATAGTGGGGGAGTAGCATTAGAGTTTACAAAAATATATATACATGTGAATTTCAACAGTAACTCTAGGATTACAGTTCTGTACGGAAGTGTACCTATTTAGTAATTTTGAAGCTAAAATTCTACATATAATACTTAGTAGAAAAATCAACAAATTTAAAAATGTTAGTTTACTTATTTTTAGTTATTGCAATTCTTACAATTGTAATAAACAGATGGAAGTCCCGGAGAATTTTGAAACTTTCCAGACAATTGCAAAATAAATTTAAAGCATACCCATTAGTGGGGCATGGATATGCGTTTAGTGGTTCCGATGTAGGTAAGTGAAATTTCAATACTTTCAAATTTGATGAAAACCGGCGTTATAAAACCATTCGTTGTCTGCTTGAATTTATGCAAATCAATTCTTGTTAGGGACACAAAATTTATATATATATATATAAAATAAGGTAATTATACATTCTCTAAAAGAAATAATTAAAACATTTTTAATGTCATAATAACTTGAAATAGATCTGTTCCTATCGAACAGAAAAGTTTACTGTAAATATAAATCCTACCAAAAACATAAGTGTAAAAAGGGGGCAAATACGATTCAAAAGACGTTTTAGGTTATCGGATTTTTTAATAGTTGCTTAAATCATAGAATCTATAGCAATTCACAAAGTACTTGGAACTGCATTGTAGCTTAGAGCCCGTTCAAATCTCAACACTTTTATCCACTAACCCGAAAAAAGGACGTCCTTTCTACCGAACTTGGACCCCTTATTACATTCATAATTTTGGTGGAAAATCATTCATTAAAAAAAAGTTTTATTGCTCTCAATAAAAACATTTTGATTTTCTCGCATTCCGCTTTCAATTTAAACTACAAGACTTGTACTTAGTATTACTAAAATACACATAATATAAAATACACAAATAATACAATAAATTTGTAGAGACAGAGACGACTACAGGAGTAATTTCAGTTGGCAGATCACGTTCTTTTCGTAGGTGATCTACTTTTCTCCACCAGTAATCAATCTTTTCAAAAATGGTTCGGTTTTATTACGTTACAATTGAGAATCGCAAATGAGTACACGATTCATTAGGATTCTTTCAGTGAGCTCGTGTGCTACCCAAATATCGAGCATTGTTGTATAGCCAGACTTTTTCAAATGGGTGAAAACTATTTTCTGGTCAATCCTCAATTTCACCGCTGTTTCGTAACTACTAGTATATTGATTTTACTCCACTTTTTCAAAAATGGCATCGAGTTTATCCGTATGAGGGCGACCAGAGCAAGCTGACAATCTTTGACATCAAATTCCCGGACCGAAAACGCTTGAACCAACTTTGTGCTACTCTTATTGATTAGGCCCATAAAATCACAATTTTTTTCGTGGCTTGAGTCGCATTTTCTTCTTTTTTGTAATGAGTCTTCAGAATATATCGAATTTATTCGTTAGATTCACTCATTTTGGCGAATAGAAAAACAATAGACAAATGGCAAGAAAATGTTTTTTACTTTTTATTTTTCTTTTCCTTTATGTATTGATATTAAAACTAACCATATACAAACAGTATAACTAAAGAGATTTTTTCTTCAACAAACACAATACGAAGAAACTTTTTTCCCGACCTATTATAATATTAAATTGTTCGTACAATGGTGCAGGATATCTTGTAAATGTGCGTTAATAATAACGTTCATAATCATTACTGCATTATAATGTGATTACAACCTTGTAATCAGGTATATTTAATGATAATATTAGTAGAATATTTATTGCACACAATAAATGCATCCGAACGATTTAGTGCAGTTCGTGTTCCTACAAAAATACTATAACCGTATATTCAAAAGTCTTTGTTTACTAATTCTGCCATTATTTTACATTATTGAGATATGATTTGTGACTCACTTGCAGTTTTTCACTCCTAGCACACTAGTAAGTACCTCATACGTAACTAGAATCTCAAATTCTTCTTGAGTTGCTACAATATGAAATTTGTTATCACTCACTGAATCACACATCAAAAACTTAAGCCCCTTTTAGATTACTTTAAAACTTGAAGTTTGGCATCAAGGTAATTATTAGACGTATACACTCTTTGTCGTCAACAAGTCTCTCGTTAACAACGTTGTAAAGATTGGGAGTATGTCGACGAGGGTTGCGTACCTTATATTCAGAATCACCAAACGATATTCGCTGAAGGTCATATAGGCTTACGCACCAACCTCGGCACACCCCGATAAGGAGGTGGAGGAAATGTATGAGGATATCTCTAGAGCCATGCATTCCTCCAAAACCCACAATACACACCGTACTCGTCAACAATTTCGAGCTTAGTGCTCCTACAACTACCGGCATAGGTGTGACATGGACATTAAACATGATTTTTGTTTTGTCCATGTTCATCTTAAGGCCTATCCGTTGGGAAACACTATTGAGGTCATTGACCATATTGCTTAGGTCTTCCAGCGATTCTGCCATAAGGACTATATCGTCGGCAAATCGAAGGTAAGTGATGTACTCGCCATTGATGTCAATACCGTATCCTTTCCAGTCCAGAAGCTTGAAAACATCTTCCAATGCAGCGGTGAAGAGTTTCGGGGATATAACGTTACCCTCTTACACCTCTCTGCAATTGGATAGGTTTCTTACTCTGGTTCTGTACTCGGATAGCCATCGTAAATCGCCCATGGAACCTCTCAATCAAAATCTCAGGTGTCCCGAAAACGACTCTGCCACACTCGGTCTTCAGTTTCAACAGTTGGCTCTTTCTGGCAGATTATCTCTAGCAAAGACTTTGGAGCCCTGGTTCCGCTCGATTGCTTCTTCAATACGAGCAGTATTAAAGTTCCGTAAGTCCCGCCGCATGCATTTGGACATCTTTCTGTTCAGTTGTCTGTATTCTGTTAAATCAACTGAAGACTGCAGCTTCATATCCCGTCTAACAGCCATGAGATTAAGAGTGTAATCGGAGAGTTTTTGTGTTCTTCTGCGGCGAGTCGTGCAAAACTTAGCTCCGACCGCATGGACAGTTTCCACGAGCTTGTCATTCATATCGTCCACTGCATTGCAATTTTCTAGGCACTGAAAACGGTTTCGTAGCTCGAGCTGAAAGGTTTCGGGACTTTGGATTAAAACACGAGGGGGACGGAGTGTGGTCTTCATTAGACGTGACCTCTCCAACTTAATGATTAGGTTCAGTATGCCTCTCACCATTCTGTGATCGCTGCCGGTTTTCATCCTCGTAATCACTGAGAAATCACTGAACAGTTGTCGTCTGATCGTCATAATGAATTCAATCTCATTTTTTGTCAAACCGCCGGTGCTCAACCAGGTCCACTTCCTGTTGGGCCGCTTCTGGAAGAAAGAGTTCATCATAAAGAATCTTTCTCCATGAAGTCGGTCAACTGCTGGCCCCTTCATTCCGTTGCCCTATTCCGAATTTCCCTACTTTCAGCTCACTGTTCTCTCTTGTGCCTCCCATTAACACCGTATTGTGGGTTTTGGAGGAATGCATGGCTCTAGAGATATCCTCATACATATCCTCCACCTCCTTATCGGGGTGTGCCGAGGTTGGTGCGTAAGCCTATATGACCTTCAGCGAATATCGTTTGGTGATTCTGAATATAAGGTACGCAACCCTCGTCGACATACTCCCAATCTTTACAACGTTGTTAACGAGAGACTTGTTGACGACAAAGAGTGTATACGTCTAATAATTACCTTGATGCCAAACTTCAAGTTTTAAAGTAATCTAAAAGGGGCTTAAGTTTTTGATGTGTGATTCAGTGAGTGATAACAAATTTCATATTGTAGCAACTCAAGAAGAATTTGAGATTCTAGTTACGTATGAGGTACTTACTAGTGTGCTAGGAGTGAAAAACTGCAAGTGAGTCACAAATCATATCTCAATAATGTAAAATAATGGCAGAATTAGTAAACAAAGACTTTTGAATATACGGTTATAGTATTTTTGTAGGACCACGAACTACACTAAATCGTTCGGATGCATTTATTGTGTGCAATAAATATTATACTAATATTATCATTAAATATACCTGATTACAAGGTTGTTATCACATTATAATGCAGTAATGATTATGAACGTTATTATTAACGCACATATACAAGATATCCTGCACCATTGTACGAACAATTTAATATTATAATAGGTCGGGAAAAAAGTTTCTTCGTATTGTGTTTGTTGAAGAAAAAATCTCTTTAGTTATACTGTTTGTATATGGTTAGTTTTAATATCAATACATAAAGGAAAAGAAAAATAAAAAGTAAAAAACATTTTCTTGCCATTTGTCTATTGTTTTTCTATTCGCCAAAATGAGTGAATCTAACGAATAAATTCGATATATTCTGAAGACTCATTACAAAAAAGAAGAAAATGCGACTCAAGCCACGAAAAAAATTGTGATTTTATGGGCCTAATCAATAAGAGTAGCACAAAGTTGGTTCAAGCGTTTTCGGTCCGGGAATTTGATGTCAAAGATTGTCAGCTTGCTCTGGTCGCCCTCATACGGATAAACTCGATGCCATTTTTGAAAAAGTGGAGTAAAATCAATATACTAGTAGTTACGAAACAGCGGTGAAATTGAGGATTGACCAGAAAATAGTTTTCACCCATTTGAAAAAGTCTGGCTATACAACAATGCTCGATATTTGGGTAGCACACGAGCTCACTGAAAGAATCCTAATGAATCGTGTACTCATTTGCGATTCTCAATTGTAACGTAATAAAACCGAACCATTTTTGAAAAGATTGATTACTGGTGGAGAAAAGTAGATCACCTACGAAAAGAACGTGATCTGCCAACTGAAATTACTCCTGTAGTCGTCTCTGCGAACAGGCTAATTCAAGTCAGCGTCTCTGCTCATTTGAAGCGACTGGGACTCCGTGATGGACCGCTTCGGGCTCAAATGCAGAAGGCGGTAATCCTCGATACCAATCCTCGATACCAAGAAGTGATACGTTGTGTGCAAGATTGCACACAACGTATTACTTCTTGATATTCCATATTCCATAAATGGAATTCAAGATTGCCCTCTGATGAGGCACAGGACACAGTGCAGTGAGTTCCAGTTTCAGTGTGTATAATAATAAATAATAGTTTTGGTATTTTATTATAATTTTTGTATTCCGTTAATTTACTGACCCACAGTTTTAAGTGTACTATCAAAATGGGTGTATTTACCTGAATAATTAATAAATAATAATAACGGTGTCACATGTCACTGCTGAACACTAGAGTTCCTGAGAAATTTCCAAAAGGGGACTCCTGAGGTGTTATGACTTCTATTGTATACGTCG